TCATCTATCCATCATCCATCCATCATCCATCATCCATCCATCCATCATCCATCCATCCATCATCCATCCATCATCCATCATCCATCCATCCATCATCCATCCATCATCCATCCCTCCATCCCTCCATTCCTCCATCCCTCACCCATCATCCATCATCCATCATCCATCCATCATCCATCATTCATCCATCCATCCATCATCCATCCATCATCCATCCCTCCATCCCTCCATTCCTCCATCCCTCACCCTTCCTCCTCCTCACCAGGAGTAGAGGAAGAAGCCGAAGAAGGGCAGGGACACCGCGAGCTGCAGCTGGCGCCAGTCAGGGATGGCGAAGGCGACGCCGGCCAGCAGGAACTGCCCGGCGGTGTAGCAGTACCCCATGAAGGTCCCCACCAGTGCCCGCATGTGTGTCGGCATCCACTCCAGCGCTGTGGGATACGGCACGTGGGGACCACCCGCGACTGCCCACCGGTACCCCAGGGGATGGGGACACCACTGGGACGGTGCCCAGGGGACATGGAGACCACCAGGATGGTACCCACTGGTTCTGAGAGGATACACAGCTGCCATGGGGACATGGTGCCCAGAGGAACATGGAGCCCAGGGTAGGTTCTGGGGGGACAAGGACCCACAGGTGCCATGGGGACATGGAGGCCACCAGGATGGTGCCTGGAGGACATGGACACCACTGGGATGGTTCCCACAGGTTCAGGGGGGACACGGAGCCCACCCAGGCAGGTGCCCAGGGCAGGAACCGGGAGTCACGTACAGAGGGAGACGCTGTTGAGGACGATGCCCGAGAAGGCCATGCCCGTCAGGAAGCGGAACAGGCAGTAGACGGTGAAGGTGGGCGCGAAGGACGAGCAGGTGCCCATGGCGGCCATCTGCAGGTAGCACCAGGTGAGCACCAAGCGGCGGCCAAACCTGGACGGGGAGGAGGAGGAGGAGGAGGAGGATCAGCAGGGGGTGAGGGGGAAGAGATGGGAGCAGAGGATAAGAGGAGGAGGAGGAGGAGCAGGAGGAGGAGCAGGAGCAGGAGCAGGAGCAGGAGAAGTGGAGGAGAAAGTGGAGAGGAGGAGGAGTAGACACAAGAAAGATGAAGAAGGGGGCAGGGGAAGGAAGAGGTGGTGAAGAGGAGGAAAAAGGAGTGAGGAAGGTGAGGAAGAGGGAGAGGGGTGAGGAGAAAAAGGGGATGAGGAGGAAAAAGAGGGTGAGGAGGAGGAAGAGGAGTAGGGAATGAAGAAGAGGCAGAGAGGGTGAGACGACCCCCGTGGTGCCACCCCACCTGCCACCCCTCACCTGTCCGAGAGCCCCCCGAAGACGCCGCCCACCAGGACTCCAGCCATGTAGAGTGACTGCGCCAGCTGCCTGAGCCCCCGGGAGCTGCACACCAGGTCCCACTGCCGAGGGACAAGGACACGGCGTGGGACAGAGATCAGGGTCCCCTCTGGCCTCCCGAACCCCAAAATCACCCATGGTGGCCGGTAAGGTCAATGAGTGGCCAATGGAGAGGTGACACTGAATGCTTGGCCACCCTTCCCATCATCACCATGGCTGGAAGGTCCATGCAAGGACCCTGTGACCCCCTTGTGACCCCTTGTGACCCCCTTGTGACCCCTTGTGACTCCCTTGTGACCCTCTTGTGACCTCCTTGTTGATGGCCACCAATTCTCCATCCCTTCCTTCCCCTCCTGGGGCTTCCTGAGCATCTCCACTGGAGGGTGAGCGGAGAAGTTGCTCCAGCTCGGAGAGGTCAGTGTTGTGTTGGCAGCAGACCCTTCGTTGGTGCCTCTAGGTGGGACCCACCCATGGAATTGGGTGAAAATCCCACCAGACCCCCCCAAACCTCTCCCCTCCCCGTCCCACCTCAGTGATGATGGTGCTGGTGAAGACGCTGCGGTCGTAGGTCCAACCATCGCCGCACGGCTCCGTCTCCGGCTGAGAGCCGTTGGGCGCCGAAATGTTGGCCTCCAGAAGCCACCACTGGGGTGTCACAAAGCGCTGGCACCGCTCCCCGCGG